CATTCTTTAAGCACCGGTTTGAGCACCATTTGAGCACCGGCACCGTTTCAAAAGTACCGATTTGGCACCGGTATCGGATAAAACCTAAACGATACCCATCCCTACTTAAGTGTCCATAAGATATTAAGATACTGTTAAATGTCTTTATGTCCTTAAGAAATAGGGGGAAAAATCCAACAAAGACCACCAGAATTGGACTCAGTGGCAGGGTGGCTGTGAGGAAAAAGGGAGAAAAGTCTGAAGTACAGCAAATTAGACAAGAACTGGACTGAAAATCAGTAGCAGCAAGTCTGATGAATCCAGATTTAAAATTTTTGGTTCAAATCCTCATCGATATCTTATCGAAACTGATAGAATTATGAATGCAGAAAAGTACCATCAGATTTTGATCCACCATACGATACCAGCTGGAAAACATCTGATATCTAACAGCTTCATTTTCCAGCACAACAGTGATCCCAAATGCACTGCCAATGCAGTAAAAGCATATCTTTATATGATTGTAGGGTCTTTATGTTCCAATATAAAGGACCTTGAGGTGACTATTGGCACTATATGAATTGAATTGAGTTGAAAACACACAATGGCACTTATCAGTCATGGATCGGCCTCCCAGAGCCTGGACCTCAACATTACTGTAGCATGCACATTAATCTCATGTCGACAGAGAACATAAATGCAGCCAACATCCAGAGAAGAGCTTTGAATGTCCTTCAAGGAGCCTGGAGAAATATTCCTGAAGACTGCTTAAAGAAATATTCAGACTGTGTTGAAGAGTAAAGGTGGTCATACATACTTTCAGTCCTGTTTGAATTGTATGGACTCTGTTTTTTGTCTTTCAGTCTGTATTTTGATGAATGTTTGCACATGATTCAATAAATCGCTGCACCTGTGTCACATTCCCCTGACAAAATATAAAGAAGTGAGGTGTATAACAAGACTTTTGGACTACACCATACTGTGTATATATATATATATATATATACCGGTATACATGGTATACATGTTTCTTCTATGCATGGCTGTCTTGATCAGACTTGGACAGATGTTATAGTTTTTGTTTTCTAACAGTCCTTTTAGAAAGAGTATATTACGTTGAATACAAGTACATTTTTTAAATAAAATGATTGACACCAAGCCCTGCGGCAGATTGGCGACCTGTCCAGGGGGAGCTCTGCTTCTCGCCCTAAGACAGCTGGGATAGGCTCCAGCACCCTTGAGATCCTGAAAAGGATAAGCGGAAGAGGATGGATGGATGATAGACACCACCTTTACAGATTTTTTGCACCTTGCATTTATTTCAGATAATTTAGTTTGTTGTCAAAGCGGTATCACATCTACCTGATGAGTACAAATCTGCACAAATGACTCTTTTGTATTTAAACAGTTCAGTTAACCCAGCACATTATTATGGCACCTGGCTCTGATTAAAACACACAACAGATAAAAATCAGAACCTGTACATTACTGATTACTGAGGACACTTGTTTGTTAAATTTAAAACAACCGAGTCAGAGAGAGAAGTGGCAAAGGAACCAAGGGGATCAGCTAATAGGCCCCGGGGGATATGGTTGCCAAACACCACAATTTCCG